TTTGTTTATATGAAGAGATTTCTTTTATTTGTGTTACTTATTTATTTGATTTGGGGTTTGTTTTAAAATTTCAATTTAGTTTATTTACATTTACATTATATTTAAATTTTGTCATTTAGCAGACGCATTTATCCAAAGCGATTTACAAATGAGGACAATAAAAGCAATCAAAACCAACAAAAGAGCAATAATATGCAAGTGCTATATTAGTATATTATTATAGTGTTATATTTCAATTTCACAAAGAAACATGAAGCATTTTGTCCAAGCAATAATAAGAGGACACATTTAATTTATAATTTGTCTTAAATCTAATTTTGTAAAAAAAAATAAAAAAATCATGAAATGAATCGAATCGAATCGTGAGTTGAGTGAATGTAGAAGTGATGTAGAAGTGTAGAGGGGCTATGATTTAAAGGCCGAGGGTGGGATTGTGTCCCCCACCCTGCTACACCCTGACAAAGCCTGGCATTGACCTCTTAAGTCTCATTCTAAGCCCGAGGTCATGGGAGCGGCAAGGTTGAGGGACTCTGTCTCTAGTGTTTTTTGCAATTATTGTTTACTGGCCCCCTCCTCTACATCCCTCTGGTTGATGACTGAGAGTGTTTGCGATTCACTCCAATCTGGTTTAACGGCAGGTGGAAGAGCAGAGCTTGGACAGAGGGGAATCCCTGGGAACAGGGGCTCACCAGCTGTTTCATGCCTAGTAATGGCTTTGTCAACTCTTGAATCGTTATTGTCTTCGCTGTTTCATATGCATTTCATTTTCTGCTAATTAATATTTTAGAAATATGTGCTTCTGGGATTCAAATACCATCAAAAATCCAAGTTAAGCAGAGAACAAGGTTTATTTGAAATGGCCTTTTGAACTGCAAAAGCTAAGGTTTAATTTTGGGATGTGCAGAACTACATTTTTTCATAATTGATTAGTCAGTGGTTTCCCTTTAATAATAATTAGTAAATAAATCAGTCGTAGAGAAGCCCTGTATGGTTTCGTTTTTACATGACCCTGATCAGACACATTTCTTAGAGCATTTACATTAGATATATTGCTGTACTCAAAAACAGTCAGCAGAATGTATGCAAGTTTTGAGAGCTGCTATTTCAATGTGATTTTAATACCTTTTTGTAGTTTAGTCTTAAGATATCTAAAGCAACAGAAATATGTTAAATATAAATCATTTAACAGTTCAAATCACAATTTTGGAATTTGTCAATATAAGTGCTGTATACTGTAGTCATGCAGTTAGAATTGATTAGTTATAGAACAGGCATTATTGAGACAGTTATAAAGGCATGGGCATGCTAAATTAGCAGGGTGGTGCTTAACTTATGTTACAGATATGATCTCATCTGTGTCTAAACTAGAGGTGGTCCCTGTCTCACATGCCAGCCCCCTCTGTGGCTTCATTAGCACAGTGTCTCCCCAGCTGATACCCATCTAGGTCTCTCTCTCTCTCTCACTCTCTCTCTCTCTCTCTCTCTCTCACACTCTCTCTCTCTCTCTCTCTTTTCTTTCACTCAGTCTATTTCTTTCTCCTTTCTCTCAGCGCCCTTCTAAAAGAACACTGTGATCTGACTTTGACAAGTGGAAAACACGACTGCTGCGCTTTTAAAACATGTTTGCCATTCCACTATTTGGAAGAAGTGAGGCCTTTGATCCAGAGAACAGTATTAGTATGCAAGGAAGTTATTTTCAGACAAAAGCACAGTCTTTTACGTCATTGAGACTTTGGCTAGAGAAAGTCTGGAACTGGAAAGCTGTAATTGTAGACTGAATTAAAGCAAATGTTTTAAGAAAATCAAAATTTGTAGGTAAACATCTGAGTTTTTTTCTTTTCTTTTTTTTCCCTTTTCTTTTGGGTCAGCTGTTATTTTCCAAAGTTTGGAAATTCCCCTTTCTGGCCATTCACCAGGATGAAAAACAAAAATACAAGTAATTGTTCAGCAGATTAATGTTCAGTTTGAGGTACTACAAGCAGAGGCAGCACGCTGCATATGGTCATAGCATCTTACTCTCGCTTGCTTTTTTGAGGCTAGTAATGTGGAGCCACTCTCTAGGTATTTTTTCCTTTATTTATATAGCGCTTTATACAGTACAGATTGTCAAAGCAGCTTTACAGTGTTAAACAGGAAAAACGTGTGCTGATAATGCAAGAGCACAATTGAAAACTGTCAGTTTATCAGTTAAAGTCAGTTCATTGTTGATTCAGTGATGTCATCGTCCAGCTCAGTTCAGTCCTCTTCCAATAGCGTCTGTGCAGTCAAGTCAACATTGTTGCCAGAAATTGTGTCCCCAACTAAGCAAGCCAAAGGTGACAGTGGCAAGGAACCAAAACTCTATTGGTGACAGAAATGGAGAAATAAAAACCTTGGGAGAAACCAGTCTCAGTCGGGGAGCCAGTTCTCCTCTGGCCAGACGAAACCAGCATGGTGTGGTGTAATTCCAGGCTGCAATGCACGTCTGATTGAGCAGAGGACTCGTCTGGTTCTCGTGGTCTTGTGCCAGTGGCTGACAAGGTCTTCACAGGGGATCTGTCTCTAGGGTTCGTCTAGTTGACATGGTCTTCGCTGGCAGGGCTGTAGAGGTATAGAAACACCCACTTCCTACTGTTTTGTTTTGTCCATGATGCTCAAGTAACAAGGTGAAAGGAAAAAGCCTTTGCCTTATGTGAGATTAATTTATCATGCAGCCTTTTTTCTCTTTTTTTTTCTCCCTGTAGGGAGAAAGAATGTGACTAATAACAAGAGCGAGTAGAGGAGGGCGTATGAGGAGAAAGTGAAAAAGGGAATGAAAGCAAGAAAGACAGAATTGTAGACAGCAGCCTTGTTCTCTTGACTGCATTTCAGCTCTGATAAAATGGCGTCCCTGAGAGTGTCTGGCTACAGGAGAATAAGTTGCTGGATTGTCTGAGCCATCAAAAAAACAAAAACAGGAAAGAAACATTTGATTACTTTCTTTGCCATGTTCAAAATCACTACTTTTGACATGTTGTTCAGCAAACATATCAGCTTTTCTGTTGATATGAAAACACTACACCTAAGATGTCAGGTTATTCAAATCTTGCAGTTGTGCCAATGGTGCCAAGTCGATCTAATGACATTTCAGCTCAGTTGTTTCTTTGTTGATAATGCTAAGTTAAGCAGTGGTTGCATGGTTGATGTTGAAATGCACTATAGCCTGACAGGCCTGTGTGATAAGGCTACACAAAAAGAGGAGATAAGTGTATAGATGGAAGAACTGCATTCTGAGGGACTGGGTAGTATTGTGGCCAGGCAATATCATAAACCCCACATCTGTTTGAGCTGATACAGAAAATTATTTTTAAAGTCTTGGTTTTATTCTAGTAAATGAACACTGTTCCACCTCCTTATTTACAAAAGAATACACTAGTTGCTTAAAAAGGCACTCACCAAGGAAATGGATAAAAATGTACATGTTATTAACTAAACATTAGTTTAGTCATGGGCAACATATTTGATTTATGCAGTGAATCATATAGCTGCCACATGCCCCTTTAAGGGGGTGGATAATACATGTGTGTACAGTTTCTAAGGAATGCTCTCAGTGGTTGTGGAGAGTGTGTTTGCTTTTGCATTGTAGATCAGTGCCCTCTTTCTGCTCTCTACCATAATTTACACACCATCGATTACCTGCTGTCTCATGATTGATTATAGCTGGAAAGAAGTAAAGCTCTGTGTGTGAGAGAGAGAAACTTGTACATCTTGGTTTAGTGTGCATCCTCTTGAGTATCCGTGGAACATGTTAGTGAAGCTTCATTTTTGTGGGGACTTGGCAGACCACAAGGAATGATGAATGACGGGCTTGTCTTGGATTAATTCCAGTAAATGAACACTGCTCCACCTCAGTTTCCCTTTCAGTGATGGAGATGCTAAAATGAAAAAAAAAGAAAGAATATCCCTTGATTTTATTTTAAGATAAATGGTGTACATTTTTATCTAGTTTTGCTTTAATAAAATCCACCCTGTGTATTTGTTTTGCAGGACTTCCCCATCAAAGTGGACAGGGAGACCAGCATGAGAATTGTCTTTGGAGCATCCCAGTCAGCAAAAACAACAGCAGCAACCGGGATAAAGTGATTATTAACTGTAACAAAACCGACACTTGGCCTTCCAATACATACGGCAAGAGCCACCAGACACCAGAATGCACCTTGGACGCTGAACGCACATCAGAGGTTGTCAGCAACAGTAGCAGCACTATTATGGCTACAGGAGCTAGCCAGCAGGGTCATTACCCAATCAGCAAAGCCAGCATTAATCTATCTTCTAGTATGGTCTCTAGTCAAAGTGGCCCTACCAGGGGCTGGGTCTTAGAGGGAAAGATTGACTTGTCCATGGGCAGTAGAGGGCAGTTCAACTGGGGTGCCTCTAATCTGAACCTAAATCCCAGTGCCAACCCTGCTGCTTGGCCAGCTCTTGGACATGAGGGGCCTGGGGTAGGGTCAGGCCCAAGTAGCATGGTTTGCTCAAATCCACTTTCGCTTAGTATGTGTGGCCAAGGAGGAGTGGCACCACCTCACGGCACTAATGGAAATGGTAGCATTGGTTGTGTCAGTGGAAACCTTGTAGGGGACTGTGCATGGGGCAGCCCAGATATCCCAGAACAGCATCAGTCACCAACAAATGTATCTTTCAACATGAAACCTCCTAACCTTAAAAATGATGGACCAAATAACACTAAACCAGAGCCAATGAGTCCAGTGAACAGCTGGAGAGGAAACCTCAGTCAGTCAGCAACTGAGCCTGTCAGCGAAGATGGAACTGCCTTCTGGGGCAACGGAGATGCCAAAAAGGGAGAATCAAAGGACTCAGGCTGGGATTCTGCAGGCGTTTCCTCTTGGGGGCAAGGAGGAGCTAGCAGTGGTGGTGGCTGGGGTGACTGGAGCAAACAACCAAGCCCTGAAGGTACAGGATGGGATGTTAATGATGGTCCTTCCCAGGAACATTTGAGTTCCTGGGGCCCTGATACTCCAGCAAGTGAGGGCAGCAGGGATAGTAGTGAGGGCCACCCAAGAAGAAGAGAGAGGTCCTCAAGTGATGATTTGGCCCCTTTGCTCCCAAGGCAGGACTTGGACCCACGTGTCATTTGTAACACAGGCTGGGGACAGACTCCAGTTCGCCAACACACTGTTTGGGAAATGGAAGAAAGTCCAAACAAAAAGAATGGTGCAGGAACTGAGGTCTGGGGGTCTTCCTCCAACACACCTTCAACTGGACCTGCACCACCTCCTTCTGGATGTGCCTGTCCCAACCTCAGTGCACCTCCTAGAATGGAGACAAGCAAGGGACCTTGCAGAGCTATGCCAAATGCAGGCTGGGGAGGATCAGTCCCAGCCTCTGCTCAGCCTAACAGTGGATGGGGGGAACCACCTGCAAATAAAAAGGTTCCTAATGGATCAGTATGTGGCTGGGGTGATCGTATTGCTGAAGGTCCCAATACCAATGGCTGTAATGGCCAATCTTGGGCTGAAGAAAAGTCCCCTAGCTGGGATGATGGTACTTCTCAGAAGAAAACACAAGGTTGGGGTGATGGAAACAAAACTTCCTCAGGCTGGGGAAGTACTGGCAGTGGGAATAGTGAAGAGTGGAGTGACCCTTCAGAAATGCGGAAGAATGACTCTGGAAGTTCCTCTTGGGAACCTGACAACAGAAACTGGAAAGAAACCCAGAAAGGATGGGGTAAAGCAGCACCAGCACAGGGTGGTAGTTGGGGTGATGGTCAACATTCCAATGGTTCAGCCCAAGGTTGGGGTGGAAAACTTCAGGAATCCACATGTGGCAACGGTGGAGCTGGAGGCATAGGGTCATGGTGTGGCCCAAATTCTGTGAAACAGAGCAACTCTAGCTGGGCATCAGGAGGCCGACCGGATCCAGGAGATGAGGCCACAGGCTGGGAAGAACCCTCTCCTTCTTCTATTCGTCGCAAAATGGAAATTGATGATGGGACCTCCACCTGGGGTGACCCCAGTGCTTACAGTAAGAGTGTAAACATGTGGGACAGGAATAACTCCCAAAATCATCCGGGAACCAGCAACAGTGGCAACAGTAATAGCCTCACTGGGCCAAACAATAATAGCAATCCTCACCAACACCACAGCCAAGGTCCTACTCAGAACCATGTCAGTGGTAGCAACAACAATGGCTCACCAAATCAAGGTGAATCTCCTCCCAACAGAATGCCCGTGGACAACCCAGGTAAGAGAATGCATATATTTTTCTCTTAATTTTAGCCAATTTTAGTCCTCTGTACATCTGACAAGCATTAATAAAATATGCTTTGATTGTTGAAGTCAAGGTTAGCACCATATCTGTTGTCCACCTTCAAAAAAAAAAAAAAAAAAAAAGATGCCGAAGTGTGCGTTTTGCTGCCCCTCCCCTGCCAGCTGGTTCAGGTTTGAGCCAGGAATTAGGCCCAGGTGCCCTGTTATCAACCCGTTTTTTTTGTGTGTGTGTGTCCATCTCTTGCAACACTGGTGGATAATTTAGGATATTGATATTTAAAGTTTGATTTTTTCATATTTCTGAGCGCTTGATCCATGATATCTTTATTTCTCTACAAGTGTGTCTTTAGTGTCAGTTTGTACTACAAGTTTTCAATTAGTAATAAATAATTTGATCACTTTATTTGATGCAGTGCACTTACTCTGTTAAGCTTTTTTTGTATTATACAAAACAAGTAAGGCAATTATTTTGATAATCAATCTATTGATTATTTGGACATAAAAATCCTTAAATATAAAAAATAATTTTATTTTCTGTATTTTAATTACCAGGCAGGGGAGAGCTCCCTAATGTACAGCCAAACACAGAACCCACTTCATGGGGTGAGCCAGCCAATTCTAACACTTCTGTGAACAATGGAACTTCAGCTTGGGGCCAGCCCTCTAGGGGCTGTGGGGGATGGGGTGAAGGTGACCGTGATTCCAATGGACCTTATGGCAGAGGAAATGCACCTGCTGGATCAGGCTCCTGTCAGGAATGTAATGAAATTAAAGAAACCTTTTCATATTAAAGCACTCGCTATTATAGAAGTTTGGACATTGCTAGAAACTAAGACATTGCTGATACATAAATTTGCTGTATTTAAATATGTAATTCATATTCCTTTTTGTTGCCATTTGATGATAACGTTAAACTTCACTGACCTCTGGTGGTTGAATTAATCAAGTACTGTTTGCATTACCTCACTTTAAATTTGAAGTTAGTATTTTTTTCTGATAAATACTTCATGCTATACCATCTTACATGCTGAGACAACTTGAAATAAGTTATTCGTATCATAAAATATACACTTTGTGGCTCTCTGGGATTTAAAAAAAAAATTGCTCCATTTACTTGAGCATCTCAACCAGCCTGACACGGAAATACTCAACCAGTGGCATGGGATCGGGGCAGGGCTATCTGTTTGTCCAACAAGTGACAGAAAGTGGTAGTGTTTGGGAAGCTTGTGTGAAAATTGTCATTATGTTTGCAATTTCGTTTGGTGACCCTGGTGCCACAGAAATTGCATACTTCACCTTTAAGGCTTTTCTGTGGATCATACTTGATAAACAACATGTAAAAATATATTCAGTATTGGGCAGACCAAATGTAATAATTTAGTCAACCATGTTGGTCATCCACTAATCTAAACATAGATTAAAATGTATATGGTGGTTACGGCCCTGATTATGAGCAGTCTTGACCATTTGTGTTTCGTCAGGTCCCAAATCTATGCAAGATGGCTGGGGATCAGGAGGGGAAGAGATTGGCATGAACACTGGCCAATGGGATGCTGATGATGGTGACATGTGGAGCAGTCCTACATCCCAAGACTCCTCTTGTAACTCCTGGAGTCAATCCAAGAAGGGCCCACAAAGGGTAGGCTGTTTAAAGCCATGAAGCTGTTGTGCAATGACACATGCTTACAGTGTGGTTAAGAAACTGTTTACATAAACTGTTTACATTTTATTTTTGTTTATGTAATATTGCTGTTGTTTGTTCATTACAGGGCAAGGTCTCCAACAAGCAGGATGATGTTTGGATTATGACCAGACTTATCAAGCAGCTTACAGATATGGGTTTTCCAGTATGTTAAAACCATAAAAATTTACTCTGAAAAGATTGCTTAAATCATTAACAAGATATGTCAAATAAATGCTGTTTAACATAACAATTATTTTTATTTTACCTGGTACAGAAGGATCCTGCAGAAGAAGCCCTAAAGAGCAACAATATGAATCTGGATCAGGCCATGAGTACGTAGTACACTTTGAAGTTAACCCATAACAGCAGACAGACATGCAGTGAGTCATATGATCTTGGTCTAGAACACTGATTATGTACTTGCCTTTCCTCAGACGCTTTGTTGGAGAAGAAAACTGAACTGGACAAACAGGGGATGGACATGTCAGACTACAGTAATGGAATGAATAAGTCTATAGTGTGCATATATATATGTATGTATATATATATATATATATATATATATATATACATATATATATATATATATATATATATCATATGTAATATTGCTGTTGTTTGTTCATTACAGGGCAAGGTCTCCAACAAGCAGGATGATGTTTGGATTATGACCAGACTTATCAAGCAGCTTACAGATATGGGTTTTCCAGTATGTTAAAACCATAAAAATTTACTCTGAAAAGATTGCTTAAATCATTAACAAGATATGTCAAATAAATGCTGTTTAACATAACAATTATTTTTATTTTACCTGGTACAGAAGGATCCTGCAGAAGAAGCCCTAAAGAGCAACAATATGAATCTGGATCAGGCCATGAGTACGTAGTACACTTTGAAGTTAACCCATAACAGCAGACAGACATGCAGTGAGTCATATGATCTTGGTCTAGAACACTGATTATGTACTTGCCTTTCCTCAGACGCTTTGTTGGAGAAGAAAACTGAACTGGACAAACAGGGGATGGACATGTCAGACTACAGTAATGGAATGAATAAGTCTATAGTGTGCCGACCCACAAACCTCTCCAAAGACCCCTCACTGGATCGTGCCCCCTTCTTGGACAAGGTATAGCTTTTTCTCAGACTTTTTTTCCAAGAAATTCTCTGGACTGGAGTAGAGAGAAATTTGATCTAGATAAATTTTACTACGAGTTTTTGCAAAGTATTTTCTGGTCTCTCAGAATGGTAGGCTGCCAGATGATGCTTCATCCTCACCGTTTATGCCTTCTCCTGGCCGCAAACTCCCACTGGCCAATAGCAGCCTCCCTAGCCAGGTATTGGGTGGAATCTCCTCTGGCCTGTCCATGCAAAACTTGAACAACAGACAAGTGAGTGTTGTAAAATATCTGCAAAGGGCATAGCACACAAGAGTTTTAAATTTAGATGCACCTATGAAGCTGCAATGTCTGGTATAATGCCCTACTCCCCCTTTTTGATTTTTTGGAAAAGTTTTGTTAAAAAGCCACTAAGGCTGGAGTGGTTAAATGAAGTTATTTGTCATTTATAATTAAAGATATGTAAACACTGAAACATGACTGACTCTTCCGTCTCTGTTTTATTTATATCAAATCAATATTTATTTATTTATTTTAGTTGCTCATTTTAATCTGAAAGTGGCAAAAGAATTTGACGTTGTGTTCAGGCCAATGTTAAAAGCACATTTTTTTTTTTTAAGAGACTGCATTATAAGAGAGATTTTGTTACATTTTAGCTGAAATGTATCTAATTTTTTTTCCTGTTAAGTGTATCCAGCCATTTAGAGTATATAAAAGCATTTCATTTGTATTGATCCCCACCCCACTCTCTTTGTTTTCTAGATGCAGAATGGAATGTTCAGCACTAATGGAGCAGCACAAACTCGGGTCATACAGCAGCAGGCCCCGTCCCCTCAGCCACCAGTGCCACCTCTTAGCTCCGCCCAGCCTACTCTACGTGCTCAAGTGCCTCAGCTTCTCACCCCTCAGGTACAAGTTGCACCTATTATTTCAAATTCCAGTGTGCCTGCATCTGTGACAAATTAACTTCTCCATTAAGGGGCAATATTTGCCCTCTTAAATTTCCAAGGGCATTTTTTACGTTTCTAAGGGCAAATTTTTCTAACCTTATCAAATGTATGTAGCATCTCTGTCAAATTCTTAAATTCAGTCAATCAATCATCTAGTCAGAATAGTCAAGTCACCTTTATTTCCGTAGTGCTTTATACAATCCAGTTTGTGTCAAAGCATCTTCAGAGATAAACAAGAAAATAGCAGAATCAGTTATGGAAACTTAGCTATGGAGACCGTTCAGATTCTGCTTTAAAGCAGACCTGTTTACATCTGGTCACTTCATCTGTTTTTAGTGATCGGATATTAATCTGAATTGTTAAAATGGTTCCATTTACACTTGGCCACATAAATGTGTCTCTGCAAAATGGATATAAATCCGATCTTCAATTCCTGCGCTATATGCAATTTTAACAGAGTTCATATCAACCAACGCAACAGATATGCGCTGCATTTTATTTATCAGCTAATTTCAAGATCAAAGACCGCAATTGGAGAGAGCGCGGCATCAGCACTCGTAAGATAATTTAGTCTCACTACTTTTAATGAAGATTATTGTGTGCTGAACGTCCGCAACTTACTTTCAGTTTCATTTGTGGCATTTTGCATGTCTTTTCACGATCGGATAGCTATCTGATCAAAGAAAATGCTTGAAGTGACCAGGTGTAAACAGGCCCTAAAAGACAATAGTGTCATTATTTAGCTTAAGTCAGTTCAGATAACAGTGTGAAGTTAATCAGCTATAAGCAGTTCTACAAAATCCAGCAATGTTGTTATTCAGCTCGAGTCAGTTCAGTGTTGATTCAATTCAGTTCAATGCCAGTGTCGATGTTGCAAGATGTGATTCAGCTGTAAAGCAGCTCTACAGACAACAATAGTGCCATCATCCAGCTTAATTCAGTTCATGTATTGCTCTCATCCAATAGTGTCAGTCAGTGCGGTCATCAGAGCATGTGAGCGGAGCGGAGCGTGAGCGGAGCGGGGAGCGGAGTGGTAATATTTCCTTAAGAGCGCAGAGCGCCTTTCTGAAGATTCCGCTCCGCTCGCTCAATACGCTCAGCGCCGCTCGCTCAACCCAGAATGCCGTTTGGTGATTTGCTTGTTCGAGATCGAGAATCTGTAGAGATCGAGAATAGTAGAGCAGTTATGGAGTTCAGATAATGCACGCAAATTTGTTCTTTACAGAACGGAGCGGGATCTGAGCGG